TTGAAATTTTCAACTACAACAAATTGTTTCGTTATAACTATTTGATGTATCAAATAAAAATATGATAGTTTACTCTCATAGTTAATCTAAAATTTCATTATGGAAGAACAATGTTTTCATGATAGAAGCAAACATAAAGATGTGAAGTTTTACTTCATACATGATGTAGCAACGAAATGTTTAGTTATACTTGAAAAAAAATATCATCTCAATTCAATCTCCTTGATATAAGAATTCTTTGTCTATCTAAATCTAAGTTGTAGTCCTGCTTGAATATGTTAAAGTTTTATTCATGTGAATAGTATTTTGTGCCCTCTCTATTTGAAAGAATGTAATGTTACTTTCACTATAAAAATTTGAAATTTAGCTACAAAATATTACGTAACAAAAGGGCAATGAATTCGTAGCAAGAAGCTTTTTGTGACGAAACACGTTACCTGTCTATACCACATTGGTAAAGGTCTTTGGCGATATATTTGACTTTCGTAACGAAAGCTAAGTTTTTTTACTATGAAAGTTAACCAAAGAGATATAACTATGAAAAATATAATTTCCTGGCTAAAACTTTTTTACTATAAAAATAAAATTAATAACAAAAGAATTTTAGCAACAAAATATGCATGATTTTTAGAAAAGGTGACTTTGTAGCCAAAAACTTTTTTATATATATAAAAATAGGATTTTCTAGCAAAAGAATTATAGCAACGAAATTAAGTTTGTATAGTACATAATTTTTTTTTAGCGACAATTAATTATTATTGTTGAATAACATATTTTTGTAGTGTTTGTATTCTATATGAGCTATTCGCAAGAACTCTATAGTAATATATGATTGTACGAATAATGACGATGATCAAATAGTTTCTCTCCTATTCAAGCCTACAATGTAATTATTATGGTCAACCATAAACAAGGTGAAGATTAATGATATGTTTATCTGGCCAAATTCGATTTTATCAAACCTGAATTAACTGATCCATTCTAAGTTTATTTTTCTAAAGTGTGATTAACCCTTTGTTATACTTCTATCTCTAATATGTTGTGATGCTTCGTTGCAATGATAGTGGTTGAAAGTTGTGAAAGGGTGTTCTGAGAAAGATTGAGGGAGAAGAAGAAATGAGTAGTTTTACCTCCTTATTTTCTTCGCCGTCTTCGTCAATTATGTTCTATCGAGCCCCTTTCTTATCAAGCATATGTAGATTTTAGAGTTTGTGTTGGTCTTTAGGTGAACCCATCAATATATAAATGTGATGGTGGCCTCATTTGGACGACTTTGAGGTTTTGGTGTAAGAATAGCTGTGACATGAGCCTATTAAATACTTTATTGTATTTTTGTTTCCTATTTGTTATTCATAATCTTGATATATTATTTTTGTCGATTTTTTTGGAGATAATTGACTGTAGGTAGGCAGAGTACAACCTAACATATTTTATTACAAAAGATTTAAGTTATTTTTTCAAGAAAGTATAACTATATTATACACAGATAGAAAAAGTATTCTTTAAATATATTAATATTGATACTTGTTGTGTTTTTATTATTCCCTTTGGATGAACATGAGCATATGACTTTTAGAGGACAGCGGCGGGCAGACAGCGGACAACAAACAACACCGATTCCTGCAGTGACTTCTTCATCTGGCAATAAATAGGAGTTCAACAACAACTTCCTCCGGCGACTCGATAGGCACGAATTTAGAGACTATTGGACGGCTCAGTCTACAACCTCTCTCTTTGGTGAATTGACTAACTTAGAGTCTAAGTCAATCGCCTCCAACAAAACCCAAAACTGACGAAGTCCTACCTATCGCAACCCTAAATCGACTAATCGACACACCAATTTTAACCCTTGAGCACTAAGAACACACAAAACAATGAACTCACCGGAAAGCCGAAAACGGGAATCGTTGGAACTCATAGAACAAAAAACCCCAGAGAGAATCCCCCAAGAGAGAACATACGCAGATCGAACTGACTCGAGAGAAGAGGAAGAATGGGGTTTTAACGTGGTGCGGGCCAAACGGGTTGGATCCGGGTTACGGGGCTTTGGGTTGTGGATCGGGTTTTGGGCCAAATTTCAACATTCTCCACCAATTTGGCCAATTCATTCACCAAGGGTTGCTCCCATAGGGATGCACCACAACCTATTGACCCTCTCGTAGTCGAGTCGCATAAGGATTGCTCGGAAGATTCACCAATACACTATGAACCTACACTCACAACAAACATTACGTAATCCTGTACTCACAAGCAAATTAGTCCTCCATAAACCAATAGATTTAAAAAAAAAATTCAGCAGCACGGGTTTTTGAAAGAGAATTCCAGGACTGGATATTCACAAAAGAGTTATTTTAAGAGAATTCCAGCAGCACTGGATATTTTTAAAAGAGAATTCCAGCAGCAGTGGTTTTTATTATTGAAAATTTTACTTTTTACATGCATAACCTCATCACTTAAGTATTGATTTATTAGCTACTAAATCTAATTCCTTATTTTTTAAGCCATTTATTACTATATCTAAAGTAATGTTATCTCTACTATTTTTAATTGCGAATTTAACATCGCTACAAGAATCGGAACTGACATTCAAAAGAAAAATTGGAAATTATTCATCAATATATTGATCTCCACTCAACTTTATATCTTGAATTAGTTTAGTAAAGACATTTATATTTTCAACCACACTCTTTTTAGTGTCTAGTTTGAATTGGAAAAACTTTCCAAGCAAGAACAACTTATTTGACAACGTTACTTCCGTGTACAAGACATCAAACCTATCCCACAATTTTTTTGCATTAGAAAACTTACCTAATTTCCTAAGCACATTGTCAGTTAAATGCAACACAATACACGTACATGCACATTTATCCATTTCGACACATTTTAAGGAGTTGTAGCATTATCGTATGTACCATCTGTTGCTCGAGAAATTTTTTGAGTAATTAAAATATTTTCATTCTTTGTTTCTAAATAGTAAAATCTACATTTCCATCAAATAACTGCATAATAAAAAAATATCCATAGGAGCAGCTTTTAAAAGAAAATATTTACCCACAAAAAAAAAAAAAAATTCACTCAAAAACACAATCTAAACAATTAACTACCAATCAAGTATAAGATTTGCACTGACAAAGAAAATCAAACAAGATTCTCAATATTAGACAATCAATCAGAAATTCACCAAATAAAAATTCTAATATGCAATCAGCAGATTCACCAAGAAATTAAAAAGAAATAGTTTAGCCTTTTACGAAAATCGATCTATTACCAAAGATCGATTTACCCGAAGATTCTCTATGAACTCGATGCTTCGACAGATTTTGGCTATGATACCACTATTGTGTTTTTATTATTGCATTTGGATGAATACGAGCAGATGACTTCCAGAGGACAGTGGCAGGCAAGCAGCGGACAACGAACAACAGCGATTCCTCAGGAGACTTCTTCCTCCGACAATGATAAGCAGTTGAACAACAACTTCCTCCGGCGACTCTTAGGCGGCTTCACAGGCACGATTTGAGAGACTATTGGACGGCTCAGTCTACAACCTCTCTAGTTGGTGAATTGACTAACTTAGGGACTAACCAAATCACCTCTAACAAAATCCAAAACCGACGAAGTCCTTATAATCGGAACCCTAAATCAACTAATTGACACACCGATTTTAACCTCTCGAGCACTAAGAACACAGAAAAGAACGATTCACCGGAAAGCAAAAAAGGGGAATGGTTCGAACTCACATAACAAAAAATCCCCAAAGAGCAGTGGCGGCTCTTAGCAGGAGCATGGTGAGCAAGTGCTCATAGCCCCTAATTAATAGAGGACCCATATTTTAAAATTTTATTATACATTATTATTATTAAATTTTAAATTTTAAAATTAAATTTTCACTTTTAAATTAAATTTTAAACTCTAATAATATGTTCTTTCCTATCTTTCTTCTTAGCTATATCTTACTCATCTTTACAAATTCAATCATTCGTCTACGCTTCTCTACCTCACACCCTGTCGTAGTACGTCCACCCACTCAGACCCAACCCGCCCCACCTTGCTTTTCGAACTTCCGAATAGTCCGCCTTTCATCTACTTTTTTCAAATCGACATTATCCAGACCGTCGCATTCAACCTCTTGTCCAATCGACGCCAATCAATGATATTATTTTGAAAATACATTTTAATCATGTGTTTATAAGGCCTATAATTAATTTTCACTTAGGACCCCAAAAAACTCCGAAACGGCTCTGCTAGAGAGAATCGCCCCAAGAAATAACACATGCAAATCAAACTTACTTGAGAGAAGACGAAGGATAGGGTTTTAACTAGGTGCGGGCCAAATGTGCGGGCCAAATGAGTCGGATCCGGGTTACAGTGCTTTGGATTGCGGATCGAATTTTGGGCCAAATTTCAAGTTTGTATTTAAAAATGTTTGAATAAAAATAATAAAATATAAGCTCTTTTATTAAGTTATTTTTATTTATTTTGAAGATAAAAGTGAGTAATTATACTACTGATTTTTTTGCCACATTGAATTTGGATAATGGGGAATTTTTTTTTTTTTTTTATAATAGTTGATGTGATATTTTATCTTTATATATATATATATTTAAAAAAATTGGAGTCTAAATAGAATAAAATGTCAAAAATTGAAAAAAAAAAACAACATCATATAGTTTTTGTTCTTAGAGGCAATAAAAAATCAGAACCTGGCCGGTTGGCTGCAGTAGCCATAATTACAGAAATATTTTTTTTTTTCTGTTATATATAAAACCATTGATGTATATTTCTAAATTACACAACAGGAGGACATGAAACAATAGCAATGGTATATTACAATTGCATGCACTTGGGTACGTAACTAGAAGAAAAATAAATAGTACAGCACACGGCACAACATGGGATGACGAGACCAATACATGAGCAGATACACACATGCATACACACACATAAATATATAAATATATATATATATAGAATGAACCCTTTCTCTTTCCTTGAAATCATCAATTGATAGTTTCCATTTCGTGGAAAATAGTGTCAGGATGAGGAGATTTAGGATCAGTACTGATTTTGACATCTTGATCCAAGTTGATTATGGCTGCTGCTGCATGCTCATCCACAATCCTCGGAATATTTGGAATGATGTCCGGACACACAACTGCAACGGCACTCAGCTTCACAACGTCGATAATTTGCTCTTTCAAGTCATCAGAGCATTTGTTGGTGTCTTCCATGTGTACTGCTGACACTATCTCATTCAGCTTCCCCTCCAGTTGGACCACTTTTTTAGCTTTCCTGTACACTAAGTACAGCACCATTTGCAGCACTCCAAATGTAAACCCTAAAACATTTGGAATCTGATGTATATGTATATAGAAAGAAAAGAAGAATTAAGAAAAAGGTATGATATGAAATTAATATAATTAGAATTGAAGTGGTAATTAGTTTGTTACATACATATAGATATATATAGACACTTACAGCGATGTTGTAGTCTTTGCGAATCAAGCCGTAGAAGAACCACATAACTGCGCTGAGAGTGAGAAATAATGATAGAAGAAATGGCATGTATTCGACACTCTTGGTTCGTATTACTTGTCTCTGATGGATGATCACAATATATAAATATTGTTAGATATAGGTATTAACTAATCAGAACAAATAGAAAAATAGTATACATATGTGCTACTCCACTCTATTATGCTTTCTTGAAAGACTATATAATATATAATCAATGCAAACATGTTTTCATACTAATTGGATCAAATGAGTCTGGTGTTGATTTAACTGAGTCGACACATTAAAGCAAAATCCAAAACACTTATTTAACAACATAGAATAATATAATATACAACATAGTATATTATTGATTTTAGTATAATAAGCATATTAATACACACAATATAATATATATAAGTATGATGTACAATATAGAAGTATGAAATTTTTAGTTAGGATGCTGATTTGATTCAATCAACACTCCAATCATAATCAATGATTCATTGTGTGTCAATTAGAACAGAAGTTTACATATGATACATTTCAGTACAGTTTAAAATTTTAGGTGAGATGATAATTTAACATATTCTACTCACCACGACGCATAGAGGAGCAATGAATACGCATATGGAGAAGACAAGACAAATCCATCCAACGACGGTGGCACGGGATGAGGATTCCACCAATAGAAGATGTGTCAACAGAACAATTAGTCCCATGCCCACCATATTTAACACAACAACATGGACCATTGTTTGCATCTGTATCGCAAATGAATCAATTCATTATTACACTATATATATATATATATATATACGCAATAAATTATCTTTTAACTTGTGTGTAAATCTTATTGTACCCGAGCACTTTTTGGTGCATAGACTAAGTATAAGGTAATGTATACTGTCTGAATAAAGCATCCAACCGAATTGATTGTAATAAGAAGCATGGTGTCGGTCTTGAGGAAGGCGTAGTATATCCACAGCATGGCGCTGAACAAACCAACTACATATGGGACTGATTGGAACCCTTCCGTCGATTTCCTCTTGTAAATTTGGTAAAATGTTGGCCTGCAACACCAGAAACATCAATACTCATGAAGAGGAGGGACGAAAATAATTAACCACGAGTAGATACAATAAATCCCCCGGCTGGAGCTGAACTTACACTGGTGCAAGAAACACCATGAAGGAGACAATGTTGCCTGCAAAGTAGAAGCAAGAATAAGAAGAATTAATTATAAAAAAATAAGATCTTAGGTTGTGTTTAGGTATGTTTTGGAGTTTTTTCGAAAACACATACATCTAAACAAAGCCCTAATCTATACATTTTTAACTGTGTATAAAAATGAGCAACTGAATAGTCCTGTCCTATGAAGTTATATAGACAGTGTTTCTTATTATTTATTACCTAGAAGGCCAAAGGAAAAATCCAAATATTGATTCATTGTGTATGTAGGAAATAAATCAGAAAGAAGACAAGTATGATGAAAGAGTGGGATGGATGATTCTTACAATCACAAGCAAGAATGGTGGCATTGTATCCATTTATATAGAGATCGAAAACTTGTGAAAGGAAAATCGTATGGTGGGTAAAGAGCATTGAGTTAAGTCTAGTCCCCATCTGAGAAGAAAATGAATTCATTATTCACAATGCAATGCCATGGATGATAGTGGTGGCTCAAATTAATTCTCTCATAGTATGTCTTTTTAATTCTTTACAGTTGTTCGATACTAAAAAAAGTGGTGTTATTATGACCTCAATCCAAAGTGCATTCCCATATCTTGCCCTCTAATGCCCCATTTAACCTGATTTGGGGGATTTTGTAACTTCCATATGCTCAGGCTTTAACTCAAATTTGGTTGAAGCCCAAAATGCAAGTGAGGCTGCTTTCTGATGTGTCACCCACCTAAGCCAATTTTATTTCTTTAAGGCTTACAACTCATGCCTCAAGTTTCAGGCATGCAGCAGTCTTGTCTTATTAAGAACATCTTTTTTCAAGAACATACCCACCATCCAATGGTATCATCCCATCTCAGCATCACACCATACATACATATGTATAGTTATTAAAGAATTATATTTATTCATTTTCTTTTTCTTTTTTTTTTTCTCATGAATGAAAATTTTGTAGTTATATGGCATTTCAACTTTTCATAATTTTCAACTTACTTTACAGGTCATCAATTCGGTGCAAGAAATTAAATACACTTAATCTACATATGTTGTTACTTATTTGGAATTTAACTTTTCTGCATAGGGTCCAAGTATTACAATGATCAGGAAACTAGGGTTGGGAAGAACTAAGGTAATTAAATATTAATTACGGAAAAGAAAGTTGAGCTGAAAATCTCTTTTGTAAAATAATTACAGCTTGATCCTGATAGTGTCTTCGTTTACTATTTAGTAATTATTATTTCCAAGGATAAAACACTCACATCTTTGACGTAAGTGACACCTCATCTTTGAAGTTTCAGAAAACAAATGAGAAAGGAATTAAGCAGTGCCAAGAAAGCATAAGACAAAAGGCTACCAGAAAATGCTCTCCAGAAAAGTGAGCAGAGGAGAGGATGTGAGGAGAAGAGTGTTGGAATTTCACTGTATTCTTTGATGATGTGTGTTTGTGTGTTTAAATATAATTTATTGTTTGATATATAGCCGGAACTAAAGTTTCCTATTGTGAATAGACATGAGTTTGACTCCTTACCCATTCCTTTTCTTTTAAATAATTTAAGATTATCATCATGACTAAATTATCAGTCGAGAAAAAAAAAATAATTTAGTCACGATCATCACTAAATTATATTTTCACTTTATTTCTTTATGTTAATCAATTTCATTGATGTTATTGTCTGAAATCTATAATCAAATTTTTGTATTATTTCAATACAAATTTTCTATAACTCGAGGCTAGCAAGGCTTGAAATATTATATTTGAAAAGTGAATTTACACGATACAAAGATTTATCCGATTATTTTCATTGAAGACTTTGTTTTTCATATCCAGTACCAACAATTAAATACAATATTTTTAAGTAGAGTGCAATGGTTTGTGACAGGATTGTTACTCGGAGTAAGATGTTGGCCAATCAAATGATGGGTCAAGGATGGAAAGGGACACCAAGGATGAGGGCAAAATTTGTCCCTGAAATCCTGACTAAAAATCATAAGAAATTAAGCCTGAATCTAGGAATGTTGGTGAAGACACCTTGAAACATCTTCTGTTGGCCGCAATGAATCCCCTATCAACGAAATGGAGAAGTTAAATCTGCTGCCATACTTTATGCAAATGTATGAACCTTATTGATGAGTTTCATAAATATACTTTTTATAAATAATTAGGAGTTTATGTCTTAATGATCGAGACATGTGATATAATCACTGATGTAATTAGAATTTAATGTCTTAAAGGGATAAGACATGGTTTTAGATAAATAATATAAGATCTGCTTCTAAATTCAATCATGTTAATGTTAACTATTTAAATTATATTATGTTTAAATGTTTGATAGATTTATGGCTGAATTTTGTGAATATGATGTTACATATCCATAAAATTAATATATTATAAAATATATTGAGATATTAGAAATATTCACAAGTTATTTTTGTATTATAATTATATATATAATTAAAAGAGAATTTACGTGGGAAATATTTGGGCCTAAAATTTCTCTAGTGGGGCCAGAAGTAAGGCAAGATTGTTGCTAGACTTTCTGTAAATATGACTGAGAGACAAATAAAAGAAAAAACTTTTAAATCAACCATGATAAAAAATTTAAAGTTGTAAGTTTCTAAAATGACAACAAGAAAGAAAATAATTTTTTGGATAATTTCAATGGAATCATATTCGGATGAATTATGTCTACTCGTTAACAAATGTGCATTTCTTGCACAGATTAATTTATTTGTAGTTGGATTAAATTTGAATAATTTCTAAAATTCTTGGAAAATTATATGAGATTGAATAATTGCACCAATTCTCTGAAAATTCACTTTCTATTGGAAAATTGCATATCTAAAATGAGATTAAGAATCTGGAAATAAATAAATAAATAAATAAAACCAAATTGAAAAACCAGGAATCTAAAATTTTATACAAATTAATTTTCAGATGAGATTATTCAAATTGTTTGTAATGAGTTTATAATCTTACGAGAGAATCTAAAATGAATGTGAGAATTCTCCATGCATTGTTGTCTGCTACTAAATTTAGTGGTGATTATCAATCTTACCTTAAATCGATAACCACATGTGCATGTTGTCTGGCAGAAACAATCTACACATTCATACTGCAATTGGAGTGGTTCCTCAAATTATGTGGAGAATGATTAATTAAAAATAAAAAATAAAATCAACTATGGTTTATCCTATTTCGTCGGAGTTGGATAAACTATGAGGAAGATCACTATTCCATGTCCAGATGGATATTCTTGTCGGGGTGGCATTTGTTGGGCTTTCAAGAAGCAAACTTGTATTACTCATTTTACAATAAAATCTGAATTCATATCTTTAGTTGCAGCTAGTAAGGAAGAAAAATGGGTTCCCAATTTAGTTATGTAATTCCATTATGAATGAAATGAGTATCACATATTCTATTAATTGTAATAATGCAGAAACTATGACTAAGACATATAGCCAATATAATGAAAATTTTAGACATTTGGATGTTTGACACAGTATGATTCATGAATTAATTACCAATGGGTGATCTCAGTGGAATTCATTCGGTCACAACACAATCTAGCTGATAATTTGGCAAAAGGGTTAGCTCAAAAGAACTTAGTACATAAGTCGTCAAGGATGTGATTAAAGTCCATCTAAATCTAATAAAGGTCGTTTGAATTGGCTTAAAAAATAAGCGAACTTTAATAAAATTGAAAGTGCTTTTATTTTTTATTTAAATTTTTTAGTTTATTTAGAATTTTATAAATTATATTTAAAAATTTTAAATTATCTAAACTAATTGGAAATATATTTATTAATTTTTATGTATTAATTATATTTTTATTCTTTTATTTTCTATAAAAATAACATTAAAAATATAATTAAGTTTAAATGTAGTAATACTATTCTACAAATTATTTTAACTTTAAAAATTATATTTAAAAATATTAAATATCTACCTTATAATTAAATTTTATATTTTTAAAATTTGATATTTTCAATTATATATTATAAATTTAATTAAAATAAAAAATATAAAAATTAATAATTAAAATACCATTATATTTAAGTTTTATATAAATCAATTATTTTTATTTTATTTTATCTTATTTATTTAATTATTATTAGGGAAAGTTGTATTAAAATCCCTGTCAGATAAACCCAATTGTAATTCAGTCTCTATTAGAAATCAAGCAGTCGCTACTTTATGAATTAGGTTTAACATAGCTCCCCAATTTGTATTTCTCTCCTAATCATCGTTGTATACGCAAAAGGTACTTGAAATAGATTGATCAATACTTCTAATGTCGTAATGTATATGTACATTACTTCCCGCTCTACCCCCATTATAATCTTATATGATTCTAGTTAAATATCGCGTACCCTTTTTTGTGAGTTAACAAAATAGTAAAAAAATACAATTACCTACGATTTAATAGGAGTTTGAGACAAAAAAAACCTCTCATAACTCCCCTCACCCCGATTTTAAACCCTACTTCTTCGATCTTCAGGCGAATCGGCGTTCTCTAAACCCCGACAATCAAGTAATGATCAATCGGTGCAAAAATAGTAAAGAAAACAGCTGACCTACTCTCATCCCAGGACAAGCTCGAAAAAATAAGACCTTTTTCGATTTTTTATTTTGTTGACATTATTTGTATTTTATATTGTAGTTTGTTGGATTGTTTGGGATATAAATCTTGGTCCCGTATTTGTATGTCTCAATAGGTTTGGCATTGAAGAGCCTTGGGTGATCGGTGTATTTGTATTTGTTACTTGTATTTGAAATTGTTCGTATATTTGCCCACATAGACCGAGTTGAGTGTTTTATTTTGACACCGATTTTGGGTAATTTTATTTGTTTAATCTGTAATTTTTGTTAATTTTGTAGGTATTCATTTTATATAATTACCTAGAGTTTCATATTTTAGTTTTTTTGTTTGATTATTCGGTAATTAGTTATGTTTGTGAGTTGGTAAATATGGTATTATTAGGTAACCCAAGTTGCATTTTTTAGGTCTAGTTTTCTAAGTAATATAATTTTAGAAGACTATTGTGTACTCAAAATGTGTTGTTACGTACTCCTAATAGATTATGAAAAACTTTTAAATAAATTCGAGATTGGGGTAATGTAAACTAATGATATTTATGTACAGATCGGACGAATCCGAAATTATCGACAGCGAGTTTGATAGTGTGAAGAGCTACCGTAGTAAAATTGAGGCCATAATACTGAAAGGTCTGCTTTCCGAACTGTAGACTTTAATTAACAACACAGGG